ACGAACATACAAGTTTATGCAAAGATGTTCCATGATCTTGCAAGATTGTACAAGGAGGACTGTAAAGACGATTCTTGCAAGTTATACTTCCAAGAACTTGAAAGAAATTTCAGCAAAAGACATCATCTTGCAAGTAAAACAAAATTGTCCATTTCCTTGCAAGACTGCCGGCAAGATTTTGTTTGCAACTGCAAGACTTATCTTGCAACTTATCTTGCAAACATAAAAAAAAACACTAACAACTGGAATAATAAAAAAATCATTTTAAAACTTCTGAATGACACACCATTTGGGTGATGACACACATATTAACAGTAGATATATCGAAACATTTTGCCATAATGTGTTCAACAGGTATAGCAAGCTTAGATAGCTCACCCACTACAGAAACAAAATCACAACAGACTAATTCAGAGAGACATCGGATATCAGAAGGAAAGCACAGGGCTTCAAGCTCCATACACCTATGAACTTTCAACTCTTGAACGATAGCTGCGTTCACGCTATCTGGTGTGTCAGGTGGGCAACATACAAACTTCTGAACTCTTCCATATCTAACACAAGTAGGTCTTTCAGGGTCCACAAAAGTGACAGTATAACTGTTCCGTTTAGTTACCCGTTTAGAAGCCTGACTATATATTGTTACTTTATCTTGCAAAATCATCTTTGGCCACAGCTTAACTGTTCCATAGGCATTGATAACGACACTATTTTTCTCCAGCAGGGGCTTTAATATGGATTCATCTTCCATATCCAAACTGATGGTCTTAGCCACTCCAACTCCAGCAAGGGATTGACTAAGCTGAGTACATCTCTGAGTTGACCTATATAGAAGCAGGTAAATTTCACTGGCAATTATGCTTGCAAAATACACCTTGATTTTGTGTCTAGTTGATCCACAAATGATTTTAAAATGAGAGGACCCTGCGTGAGCTTTCTTTGCACATGAAGACGCCACTGGAGAATAAATGATGTCACAATCTGGAAGCAGACAATTAAATTGGTTACATGTGCTATTAACGTTAGAACATACTTGATTGGCTATGTCATGTGTCCCATGAGACTTTTTGACCAAACCTCCAATTGCGTCTTCAAAGGCAAAGGCAGAATGAGTCCATAGAGGCCCAAAAAGTTTCACATAATGCGACAAATGTCCCAAAAGATGGACATTGACCTTGCAGTGCTTCAGGCCTGCAAGCATTTGGATGTTGGCTTAACACACACAATTGGTAATAGCATCTAACCATAGTAATCCTCTGTTAATCTCCAATATAAGCCCAACAGGTTGTCAGCTATTTCTATGTCTGCTTGAGAAATTTCATCGGCCAGAAGGAGTCTCATAGCCTTAGAGAGCAGCAGAGCATGCACGAGGTATTTGTCAGGCAGGATTCCATGCAACAGTGGTAGATAGTAAAGTAAGAATGTTCTGCATTCTGTTGCTGCAAAAAACATCAATTAAGAGGAAGTTACTATTTGCACAGCAAACAGAAGCCACATAATGGGCAAGGGTCATACACCATGCACTAAAGCTCCAGTACATCCAATATTAGGGATGGGAAAATATACTAGTACTGTACCTTTCCAGCCTCTACCTCTGAAAGATTTTGGTACCCTTGTAACTACATCAGGGGGTTTAACCCCGAGAAGTCTTGATTCTGCCTCAGAAATCCTACGTCCAATGTACCTAAAAAGTGGCAAAAACATAATTATCCAAAAGAAAAAAATTAATTTACCATGGCTCCTTGTGGTTTTTAGAGTCGAACCACAATGATAGTAATGTACGCACTACTCCCAACAGCACACAGTGCATGTAGTCCACAGGGTTATTGTTAATGATGTCAAATTCAGGCAGGTTGTGAAGGATAGATTTTCCCTTCACTCCGTATACAACCTAAACATATTTGCAAAAAATGGTATAATCAGGATAATCAAATCTAAGTATGCCCCTTACTTGACTGGTTGCTTCAGCCTCCATGGCATATTTTGTGTGTTGTGAATGGCTCCGTAACGTAACTGGCTGATATCCATATGCTCGAGTGCTACCTCTTCCAATTGAAACCTGCATAACATACATATATATTTACAGTCAATTCTTTAGCTTTACCATGCGATACCTGCTTTCCCTCATGTTTACACGTTGGACAACCAAATTTGCCATTGAACTGGATCATATTAGTCAAAGATGCCTTTGCAGGTAGGTCTGCTAGTGTAAAAAGTAGCCGTGCCTTGCAAGTAACTTCTTCCCCTCTCACAGTAACCTTCACACCTGTAAAGAATTATGTTACTTATGTAGGATCACAGAATTAAGGGCCATCCTGTACCATTTGTAGCTAAATCTTCCAGTTCCTCCAAGATTGGGGCCAAACACGCACATGTTGGGGGCTTCTTCACTGAGCACCAAATCCCTGCCAAGAACATGTGTTGCCTTGATCCCCTGAATATAGAAGTCTACATTAAATTTGAGCATGAATGGCTACTGAAAATACAGTAGCCTGCAGCGACACATACATACCTTACATGAGGTGGCAGTTCATTCAAGTAAAGTTGAATTGGCCAAACTTGTACTGATGAGGACTTGAACTTCGGCGCTCCATCGAAGTTGAGGGCGAAGGACACGTTATATTCAGATGCGAAGAACATGCTATGCTTGCAGTACTCCTATCCATCATAGATATCGGACAAAATGCCATATTTCTGTTCACGACGAAAGCGATACCTCAGAAGATAAGGAAATTCAGGATCTGCAAAAGATATAGCCTTGTTATGTGCTATACAAAACAACGCATAAACATTGTACCATCAAAGCGTTCTTTGAGCTGCATGCGTAGGGGAATCCGCACAAAAACTCCACGCGATGCTTTAGCACATTTCTGCTGTTTGCAGGACGAACCTGGCTCAAGAGGACATGTACAATTGTCACAAAAATGCTGCACAACAGTGTCCTCTTTGTAATTAGAATATTTCTTATAGAGCACATGAGCAGAAGATGGAATGTAGCTTGGTGATGGTAACACAATGGACAAAAGCTTCAGTATATCACCTTGGCTTGAGTAAGTCAAATTGTGCCTTTGTGCTAGTGATAAGAATGCTGTGTTGAAATCGTCACTCTGAACAGCAGAATCTTGGAAAAGTGGACCGTGTGTACCAGTGGCAACGCTTCTAACTGCAATCATATCTTCATTGCTGCTGCAATCATCCTTGCTGAAATCCCCCTCACTGGAACCCCCCTCTTCCTCGCTAAAATCGCCCTCGTCCTCGCTGAGATCCCTCTCGTCCTCGCTGAAATCAGTAACACGCTCACTCAGTTCGCCATCACTCACGCGGTGTTGTCCAGCTGAAGACCCAGATTCGCTTGGGTTATCGTCGCCAGAGAGTCTGCCTTCTACGTCTTCCGCGCCTTCCACGTCACCACAACTTTCTCGATTCTCGCCGATGCTGTCGGCCGTCGCTTCCACTTCTCGCTGAGGTTCCTGGTCCTCCGCGTCGTCCCCATCTTCAGCTCCATGGTCGGTGAAAGCAGTAGTAGGCTCGATTCGGGGCTTCTTAGTGGACACAGACACAGTAGACCCCGCTAAACGTTGCGCGACTTGCAGCCGTAGTCGACGTTGAGACCGCTTGCTCAGCCGTCTCTCAGACATAGCCAACGCAGGTGTCCTTTCCGGCGTCCTCCCCTAGCTGCGTGCGAGGACTCATGTACACCAAGTCCCAGAGTGGAACGGAACGGAAATATTTTACTTGCGCATGCGCGCCCACGTGGAATGAGCTCAAATCCTGCGGTGTGCATGGGGAGACAGATCGAGAAGCGGGCTGAGTTAGAGGCTAGAGCAGCATCCTTGGAGAGTGTTGCAGTTTGGTGAGTGTGTGCATTTACTCTCGGGAAGAGAGTCTTTAGTGTGTGCGCCTTTTATTCGTGATAGTCTATGTAGCCCGGATCCCGGGGTGACCAGCGGGGGCTGCTCGTAGACATGGCTAGCAGCCGAAGTAAATCAAGACGGGAAGACAAGCAGAGGAAACAACTTGTAAAAGGCAAGCTTTTGGATTTTCCCCTGGCAAGTTCAAACCCGTGTCCAGTATCTTGTATATACCTTGTAAAGGCGTATCTGAGCTAGTGCAAGTCTGTGCACGCACTGATCTTATCTGGTTACGCTTGTATTGTATGGTTTCCCAGTAGGCAGGGTGTTTAGTATGGATTGCACTATTGTATTGCTGAGTTAGTGTGGTGCTCAGACCCTCATGTGCTCCACATTAAAAAGACACGGTGTGGGAAACTAGGGTATTATGACACTGTCCCATTTTAGCGATAGGTGTGGCAATATCTCCACCTCTACCCTATGATGTGCACTCCCACAGATCTGTACTTTCTAATCCAATGGACGGAAGATGCTGATGAAGAATTGTTTGATGCAGTACCAGCTCGGGACATTACTGTCCCAAGTGGAAAGGATGTACTAGACCTCATTGCAGGCGATGAATGTCAAGCATCTTTTGCCAACACTCTGTACCCCGCTAGGGTAGTCGCTGTTGGTGAGTGAGCGTACGCTTTGTGTACAGTGTGTGTAGCTATGAAGCACCCCACTCTCACCCACTTTTTAAAAATCAAGTAAAGATACCTGCAGCCTTTCTCCTATGCACGGTCACTAGCTACCAATCGCAGAGTTACTGTGCTTGTGTGCGTCTCAGTTAGCTCCTATGTTTGTGTTGGTAGACCATGTGTGGCACATCATGCTGTTAATTCACCCCCCTTTCTCCATCGGTCCTTGGACAGTAATTGTAATTTTCTGCCACAGGTAAGTACACTGAGATAAAGAAGCAGCAGAAACAGAAAGAGAAAGAGGCAGAAGAAAATGAACTTGGTAAAATCAACTTACAAGTGAATGGGAGGGATATATATATAGCTTTTTGGTCACCTTATAGGAAGTGAACAGGGTGGAGTAGATGCCTCATCGGGTGAAAGAGATGCTTTGACAGGGAATAAGAGGGAGTCAGGGAATGAGAGGGAAGGAGGGAATGAAAAGAAGTCGGAGCCAGGAAGTGAGAAAGAGAAGGGGAATAAAGAGTCCGAGAAAAAGGAGTCAGGGAGTGAGAAGGAGAAGGGGAATGAGGAAAGGCGTGGGAACGAAAAGAAGACTAAGAATACAACTGAAGCCAGACAGGGGGAAAAGAGGATTCAAGGAGGTAATATAATATACGTTGTCTGACCACACAATAGTCTTAAGGCTGTAATGCAGGGGGCAATAGTGATGGGAAGTTCTCTAACGGTAGGAAAAGGAAAGACACTACTCTGAAAGACACGGGAAGGGATTCACCACAAAAAAACAGTAGTAAGAAAAAGCTGGTAGGAATGGACGTCTCTGAGGCTATTGATAAAGATTCCAAGGTACTTTAAAGGACCTGCTTGATTGATTAACCAGAATCTGTATTAATTAGATGATGGAGACTCCTAGAACTCCTTGACTCCATCAAAGAAATCAAGAACCACCGAAGTAAATTACCTTACATTCTATGTATACTTATGTTTATCTGATTACCAATGAAGGCAAAGAGTCCACGTAAAAGGTTGAAAACCTACTATGATGCAAGCTCTGAGGAATCGGATAAGGTATATACACTGATGCACAATCTAGAATCATTTACATTGCTGGTACTAACTGCTATTAGGAGGAACAACATCCACCTGCAAAGAAACAAGTGAGTAAAGTCTAGTGGTTAATACAAACAATCTGGGAACTTAATTTTTGCAGAAAGTCTACCAGTCGATATCTGGATCAGAGGTTTCTCTTAATATTATCACAGCAAATTATATTTTGTGGTTGTTTAGGACGAGACTGTCATTTCTCCAACAAACCTGGAAGCAAAAAGAATAAAGATATTGCGGAGAATGAGATGTTCAAGAAAATGATTGGACTGGTGAGTCACTAATATTACTTGAACAATAATTGCATGGAAAGTGACACTTACAGGGACCAGGAATGTTCCACAACCCTATCACCTCGGAAATGGCAAAATTGAAGGAAAAGGTCCGCATGTTAGAGGTGAGGATTGCACTGCTGTTTCTTCAGTAACTTGTGTTTGTACAGCAGAGGTCACACGTGAGTTTAAAAAGAAAAGTTTCGGAACAAGCAGCTGAACTAAATCACCTAAGACAGCTAACTTCACCCGATATTTCTTCAGCGTCAGAAGCCACCCCAGATGGTCCTGCATTTTCATTTCTGCCACCTCGAGGTCCTTTTCGTAAGAGTCCGATTTATTCGTCTCCAACTCCTGCACCAAGAGAACAAGATATTCCAGTGAGCTGTCATTGTGCCTTTAATTCATATACCTGTAAAAAATCTCTTGCACGCACTCATGCTTGTACACTGCTCTGCTTGTTGCTCCAGCACTTTCTGAAAGGGGTGGATCAAGTACGTCTTCAGAATGCCAAGCTGCAGTCGGATGCTGGTGGTGCAGCTCTGAAATTGATGGACTGTTTGTTCTCTACTGAACAAATGGTGAATGGGAATCCTTCTGGTGTTACACGTTCTAAGGACGCAGCACGACAGAAGACAATCAAGCGACTTGATCCAGAGAAAATGAGATACATTGATAGTAAGTTAAAAGACATTGGAACAATAGCTAATGCAATTCTGCCTTTGTGCTTTTTGCTCAGGTATTCTACAAGAGAAATGGGGTGTGACAACAATGAACAAGGAGATCAGGCGCAAAATGACACAAAAATGTACTGATTACTTTTCAGATAGTCGATACAAGCATTTGCATCACTCTTAATTCAATTGTTTTTCATGTGCATGCTGCATAAATGTACGCTATATTGCAAGATTAATGCAAGAACTACATTGTCATCTTGCAAGGCGTTATACAATATGACCAAGCAAATATCTTGCAAGATATCCTGCAAGACTACAGCAGTCTTGCAAGGAGCTATAAGTCTTGCAAGTACTAATGGTATATGCAAGTTAGTCTTGCTCTCCTTGCAAGAGTGAACTTGCAGATACAGCCAAGATTATGCAAGAAAGTGGCCATATCTTTATTATGTAAGATATGCACATACTTCTTGCAAGATCACAGAAATTTCTCTCGCAAGATGCCTTGCATAATCCTGCATGATCTTAAAAGACACTTGGGCATGGGTAGGGCTCGTCTGCGTCAAAGAATGATTTGTCATCCATCTTATATATACAGTAAGTACCACATTCTCCCATTATTGTATTATGTTCTTGCTTGCCTTTTTTATTTATTAGCTCTGGCCACTGAGATGATTACAAAGGTTTGCTCACTGGCGACCCATGATGATGCTGATGGTGTTGTGATGGAGATAGAGGAGATGCTTGTAATGGTAGATCATGTGATTGCTTCTGGCCAGGAATACCAGTTACAGAATATACGACGTCGCTTAGTTTATCTTTATGAGCACTGGACACTGATTCAGAGTAATTTACCAACGTGTACATCTCTAGCTGCTGGCGTGGAAGAGGTACAAGAAGTATCTAACTCCTCCGGGGAAAGGGGCCGACCAAAGATTTTTATTAATATCAGCATGGTAGCATTCATGAGAGGTGTAGGCTACACGTGGAAAGAGGTGGCTAGTGCTCTTCTCGTCAGCCGTAATACGTTGTGGCGCAGGCTTAGGGAAGCTGGAATTACATTTGAAAAGTATGAGCGTCTGCAAACCCTACGGCTCCGTTACCCTAAGTGTGGACAAGTAATGCTACATAGCATGCTTTCTTCTCAAGGAACACACGTTCAGAGACTTCGACTAAGAGAGAGCATTGCAAGGGTTGATCCAAGCTCTTATTCCCGTCGGCACCAGCTGATCCAAAGACGATCGTACAATGTCCCTAGTCCTAACTCCTTATGGCACATAGATGGCCAGCACAGTCTGGTTAGGTGGCGTATGGTGATCCACGGGTGCATTGACGGTTATTCACGACTTGTGTTGTACCTGTTTTGTGCGAACAACAACAAAAGTGCCACAGTCCTGCAACTCTTTCTTGCAGCAAAAGAGGAGTATGGCCTGCCGTCACGGGTACGTTCTGACAAAGGGGGTGAAAATTTTGGTGTCTGTGAATACATGCTTTGTGCTCGTGGTACTGGAAGACACAGTCATATTGCTGGGAAATCAACTCACAATCAGCGTATAGAACGACTATGGCGAGACGTTTTTCTTAGCACATTCTATAGTATCTTTTACCAGTTGGATCACGAGCTTGACCTTGTTCATGATTTTGCCCTCTTCGCGCTTCATTTTGTATTTACACCAAGAATCAACACCTGTCTTCAAGAGTAGAAGTAGCTGGAATCGACATCCTTTACGTACAGAAAAAAATTGGTCACCACATAAAATTTGGACCAATGGTATTTTACAGCCTGCCAACAAGGGTTTGTGTGGTGTTAAAGATGTGTTAGACGCTGTGCCAGAAGACAAGAACTATGGCATTGATGAGGAAGGCCCACAGCCACTACATGAATGTGAGAGCGTTCCTGGTACATCTTTGCCTCTGACCGAAGAACACCATGAATCACTGAGCTCACTAGTGCAACACAGTGATAATGAAACACCTATCTTGCTTGTAAAGACATGCTACACACAATTGATTTTTGATCATAATGGTATAGTGTGTGCTATTAACGAAACATTATACAAGCAATCTATATTAATTTTATACATCACAAGTTGTAGTGAGTGTGCAGTCTAAATCATTGTAAATGCATTGCGTCTATCTGGTAGAATGGCCAACAAAGAACGCTTTAAGTCGTCATAGCTGCTAAAGTTTGTTGGCAGGGTTAGTTTCAGCTGGCAGGTAGCCCCTGTGACAGCATCACCATCAATGAAGTTAACTGATATAATATATCCAGGAGAGTATCCAGCTGCAGGGAGCTGTTCTGATCAACCGAAGTAGGCGGCAGAGCTCTGTGAAGATAAATTAAAATTAGCTATTTTTGTTCCGTCCACCTCTATACATTGTGTCAGTGCACAAACAATGAGTGTTTTAATACCAGTTACCTTCAGTTTCTGATGTCTTAATAAACTCAGCTAGCCAGGCAGCTGTTACAACTTCGTTTTCATTCATTTTCTCGAGAAAACGCATCAAATCCAACAGATCAGCTGCAGTTACATCCTCATGGTGAAGAGTGTTTCAAATTCAACTGGAAACAGACGGATCAAAGACAACACTCCAACATCTATCATCCCTTCGGCAATTTGGTCCAAGGCACTCTTCCCCCTCAGTAGGGCGTCATGGAGAATGAAGTCTTGGGTCAGAGCATCCTTCGTTGAAAACTGTGTGCAGAAATCATGCACTTCCAAGCTACAACACTGTAGGCATAAATCATACCGATTTGAGAAAATAATGCTGGCTAAGTCTCTTGCAATCTAAGTCACCATCTACGCCTATGATGCTCTTTGCGATGCACACACTCCTACAGCAATCATGCACACTAGCAGAATCCAGCTAAACAAAAAGGCTTACACATGGAACTCTACGAGAACCACTCAGCTCCATTAGAACAGCAAACTCTGGACTGTCGAACACACACTCCACCTCCTCCTCGGTGGCAGAGGATTGCAGCTTTGAAAATACAAAAAAACATGTGAACTTAATTAAGGGTAGACATCAGTCAACCATCAATGTATAGATGTGCTACAGCCTAGCTATATACCTGACAGGCTGACTGACAGACAGACACACACGACAACTACCGTAACCCATGCTGCGTGTGCACGCCGAGGGTTAATAAAGCACACGCACATGAAAAAGGGACACCCCGAAAAACCCCAAGATGTTTTATTCACGTACAGTATGAGTCAGAAAAAAGTAAACGAAAGTAACGTTACTTCGAAGTAAGGTTACCGTAAAGTTACGTTACTTGAAAGTAACTCAAAGTTACTAACTAGTAACCTGAGCGTAACTTCAGAGTTACCACAAAGTAACCTGAACGTAACTAACTAGTAACCCGAGCGTAACTTCAGAGTTACCAACTAGTGACCTGAGCGTGTAAGTTTCGAAGCAAGCTGAAAGTAAACTTGGCGGTACACCAACGTTACCAAAGCGGCCCATGTTCCACGCATCACACTCAGCCAATCTTCACGGAAGAATGGGTAGCTTACGGTCTGAGTGTCCGCTGTAGATCCTCGGGCTACATGTCGCTCCCCAGCAGACGGTACAGCGCTGCCGATATAGCTCGGGAAGACACGCGCGAAGAACCACGCGGCTGGCCGGCCGCCGGCCCGGCCCAGCACAACCACGCCCTCTGGATCGGACCCGGGAAGCACGCTGTCGCGCGCGCTGCATGCAAGAGTCGCGCTAGAGACACGGCTAATAGGCCGACGGTCGCGAACTGGAAGGCGCGGCCGCGTTACCCAGTGGAGCTAGCCGTGTGTAGACCGAGCGCAACCAAAGAAAAGTTCACAGTAAGGGGACAGAGCTAAGGCCCAAGGCAAAAGACCTTGTTACTTCAGCGTTACTCCACGGTAACCTTACAGTGACTAGAAAGTTACTACACGGTAACTTTACAGTGACTTCAGAGTTACTCCTGAGTGACCTTACAGTGACTTGAAAGTTACTAAAGGTTACTAGATAGTTACTAACGCGTAAGTAACTTCGCAAGTAGCGTTACTTTCGTTTACTTTTTTGTGACTCATACTGTATATATGCATGTTTGAGCCTCTGTATAATATACCAACCTTCCTGACGACAACAACAGCATTTTCTGAAAGGTCTTCATTGATCGACACATACGGTAGGGCCCGCTGTATACACCCCGTTGCCAAGTACC